AAAAAAAAAAAAATAGTGGGGGGGGGGGACTAAAGATGGGAGCCGAACCCATCTGACGACCGAACCCGAACCATGCTGACGACAGAACCCGAACTTCAACGTCATTGAATACGACCCAGCCCAATCGACCGTTTTGTAAACTTATTAAAACTGACTTTGCCCGTCGGATGATGACTTTTTGGGCAAGTCAATTGAGATGATTAATTATTTCTAATGTAGGCCCCACACGGAGACAGTATTTTCATCAGCCCTTCAACTTCAACGGGTTAAAAATATTTCTCCTGATGATGCCTTAAGTTCTCGCCCGAGTGACAGTGGCGACAATGTCGACAGAACCAAACTTAGACTCACATTTACTCCTCACAATCTTATAGCCAAACATGGTTTCCTTATAAACCGTGCCATCGTCTTCGCCTACCCTGACAAGCACATTTTCTCTTCCCTACCCTCATTGTTTTCAATGTGCGTGTCGTATCCGCGCTGCCCCGTTTTCCACTTTGGCACCAAGCCATATGAACGCAGCCGTTGCAACACTTGCCATTTTGTCGTCCAGACTCAACACATTCCTTTCCCTAAGGGCAGTTTTAAGATAAGGGACGGTTTCCTTTGTAGCCTACTAGCCGCCATGTTGTCAACGCCATTGTTTGCACCCACTGCAAGATGTCATACATATATAGGGGAGATAGGACACCGACTCTCTGACAGATGTACTGAACACCCCCGTGATATTGTGCAAGATAAGTAATTTTCTATCTCAAAACACTTCAATAGAAGTGACCACAAGGGCTCTAGGGTTTTGCTATCACTGCCATTGTGTCTTGTGTATGAACACACCAAATCGGATGAAATTGGAAAACACACTGATTAAGGCGCATGGAACCTTGACACTATATTGCATGAATGTTATGATTCACTTCTTAAACCTTTTCTACGCCACTCGTCGTTAAGAGAAATCGCAGTGGACTTACTTTCCCTCTCTTCCGTTCTTCCTGTATTCAATCTCTCACCTACTTATGTTCTGTCACATTTATCTTGCTGTCCTCTCGGATTCTACATTGAAGCCAAGTGTTTATTTCTCTTTTTTAGTGTTCTTTGTCTGCCGAATAAGTTTTCTTGCCGACACGTTCGTTGTTTTGTTGCGTCCTTTTTTTCTTCAGGTTTCCCCATCGTTGTTTTGCTCATTTCCTTTTATTAGAGCCGACAATGTTTGACGCATGTGGCACATTACTACAAACGCCAGAAATACTTAGCCCATATCCTCATTAAAACTAGAAAATCCAATTAGTATTGCAAACCGATTTTTTTGTAAACTAAATTGCAAATTTTCTTCTTCTTATTTTAAAAATCCCCTGTCCACCAATAGCCTATCTACACCCCCCCCCCCAAACATTACATAGACTCGGTGCAGATGAAAAGAAATTTTATCACATTTTTAGCACCAAACCCCAAAAAATCAGTTTTTCCCGTTTTTTCAAGAACATGAAGGGTAAAAAAAACCCCTGTCCACCAATAGCCTAACTACCCCCCCCCCCCCCCAAACATTACATAGACTCGGTGCAGATGAAAAGAAATTTTATCACATTTTTAGCACCAAACCCCCAAAAATCAGTTTTTCCCGTTTTTTCAAGAACATGAAGGGTAAATCCCGGTAACTGCGCTAAATGTGATTCTTAAATTAAAAAATCGTAAGTGCGTTTGTTAAACCCCGCCCCCATTGCTCGATTTGACATTTTATAATGGATGGATACGAAGAACTTTGTTTTTAGGGGTTGTTTAATTAAAACTGCCTTTATTTGTTAGTTATAAAAACCCATTGTACCATTATTAGCATGTAGCTAAAAAAAAAAAAAATTAAAAAAGACAACAAAACATTGATTTTTTTTCTACTTTAATTTATATTTTAAACATCAGGATCGTCGGGATCGCCAAAGCAGCAGCAACTGTGGCTGAACTGAATAATTGGGTGTGGAATATCTCAATCTTACTGAAAATACAAAACTAAGTGTCTATGAGGCATGTGTGCTTAGTACGCTCCTATATGGCCGTGAAGTGTGGACCACATAAACCAGTCATAAGCGAAAACTCAACAGCTTCCATCAAAGTCAGAGATGTCTGCGTCGCATTTTACGCATTCATTGGCAGGACAAGGTGCCTAACACTAACACGGAGGTCTTGGAACGAGGAAAAATGTTAAGCATATTCTCCCCTCTTAGCAAGAGGCGCCTTCGCTGGTAAGGACATGAATAGAGAATGGAGGAAGGCCGTATCTCAAAGATGCTGTTGTATGGAGAGTTGACAAAAAGGAAAAGACTTATTTGACGACCACGCCTGAGATTTATGGACGTTTGCAAAAGGAGCATGAGGGAGGCCAACATCAAAATCAACAAATGGGAGAGCATTGCCGAACAACGTTCCAGCTGGCGAACAGCAGTGTATGAAGGGGTAAAAAAGGCAGAAGGTGCGCGAAACAAAGCCCTTGCAACAAAAACAACAATACGGAAGGCCAAATATTACCAGAAATCAATATTTTCCTGTGAGAAATGCAGTCGAGATGGTCATTACTCGTGGAAGTGTAGGACTACATTACCTACTCCATCGTCTCGCGAAGACGGAAGGATTATATTTGAAACATTTTTGTTTAAAAAATCATATTTATCCTTTATTTTATTTAAATTAAAAACCGAACTTGTATTAAATTTGCGACATTTACTGAATATTATTATTAAAACTAATTCAATCTGTTATTGTGATGTTAAAAAAGGGAGTTGAACAAACAATTCAACAGAGAGCCTTGTGCTTCAATTATAAAATGAAGTATATTACTCGAGACAATGAAGTTATATTTTATTGAGTGATATTTTTATTCATGGTTAACAATAATTTTTTGTGTGACAAAGTAATGTCATGAATCTCTTTGTTCCTTTTTGGGGTTAGCCACTAAGAATGGTGCTTTCCACACTCGGATTTTCACTGTAAACTTGTCATTAGAAGTTTTCTCAGGATAAATTTTAAGAAGCTTGACTCTTTTGACTTTTAGTTGATCTTCCACTTTCTCCATAACCAGATCAACGTAGTCACCCTCATCCATCTGTTGGGCATATACAAATAACTGGTGAAAATCTTTCAACAATATGACAATGTTTACTTTCATTTATGCTAGGAAAAATAATTTGAAAATTTTTAAACGAAATTTATAATTGAGTTTGTCATACAGTTTACGCTAATTATACAGATCTTTACCTGGAAGTTGTACAAATTGTTGAAAATATTGATGAATTTTTTTTTTTTTAATTCCCTTAAAATAAGATTTAAAACAAAAACATTAAAATTATAGTTGTACTTTTAGTATATTACTAGTAATAATTTTCCATTCAGGTAGCCTCTGTTATTTAGAAGATAAGGTAGTAGAGCATTTTTAAGTTTGACAAATTATTTAAATTCCCAAATAGAAAAATGTTGTTCCTCGTCAAACTGAATTGTGTAAATAGCTTTTAAAATGATTATTTAATTTATAACAATAGAATATAGAATTACATAATGATGTAATTACAAACTAAAGTCATACAATGGATGCAACACAGATGAAATGTAACATATAATTTAGAAAAACATATATAAGTTATAACAATTTGTAAATTATAATTACAGTTTTTAGCTTTTAAAAGAACATAATTTACTTCATTTTAGAATCATGTCCCTTACATCTGTTTAACTAATCATGGACAAGAAACATGCATTGCTCAACTCTGTACAAATTCATCAAGTAACAGAATAAGACTTAGCACATGACTGTTTCATTCAGCCAATCGATTGACAACCTAGTCTCAGACAGCTTCGTCAATACAGTCACAACATCTCGGCAAGACAGTGTTGGCGGCCATTCTTGTCTGCTGCCACAGCTACACTATTAAAATTTACAGGCTTACTTTCTCATGAATTTAAAGTGTGTGCATATGAAATGTAAGGGAAAATATGATGATTGAAAAACTCTATACATTAAAATATGTAAAATATATGAAAAACAGTAGATACAGTTTCATTTCCACACCAACCTATGTAGGATGTTTTCCAATGTGTCAAGAAATTATCATTGAATAATGACATACCTTAGCAGCTTTCTTTGTCATTTTAGCACCATTTAGAAGAATTCCAGGACCAAAGAAAGCTTCTTCTAATCGGCTGTTTAAAAAAAAAAAGTTAAAAATTAACTATTAATACCATAGTAACTTTTCAAAGTATTATAACGGTAATCGAAAAAAATTGCAGGATATTATAACTCTAAATGTTAAATAAAAAAAATATGCACTTAGTTTGGAAAAATATAAACTTGAAATAAATAATCTTTGCAACCCTTTCAGGATGGAGCCTTTTTGGGGTGTCTGTGCCAAAAGATGGAGCACTTTTTACGAGCTCGGCACTAGTATTGCAAAAAATTGTTTTAAAATAAACTATTTCCATTATAAAATATATATTATTCTTGTAGAAAATTGAATAAAATAAATCCAATCTTTATAAATCAAACTGACATCTCAACGGTTATGCAAATGACCTAACCTGATTTGCATAATGTAGGCTTGTAATTTACAAAAAAACTCAATTTTGTGAATTTTTTTGATGGATGAAGCCTGAATAAGTCCAAACACTTGTTTTCCTGGCCCCTAATATTTTTCAAATTGCAACAAACACTCACTGTAACTGCCCCCATTTATGACCTAGGGACCTTCTCTTAAGCTGGGTGTTACCCGGTACTGAGAAAGTTGTCTGCACACCTATTGATCTCTCACTCACTCTCATAAACATTTGAGTGATTGATATTTATTGTAAAAAATAGCATAAAGTACTTCAATGGGGTGCTTATGTCTTGAGGCATATATGTAGTATAGGTCATAGTTATATGCTTTCTGAAAAAATTCAGACGGGTCATCTCTATCCAGTTGAGGACCCATAATACTAAATCTAGGGTTCACAACATTGTTGTGAACATCATCATTTTGACCATTTTCATTACTTTCCTGGTTGTTTTCATCAGTGTCAGATTCACTGCTATGATATCAAAATCAGTAAGGACAGTTTTTTCAGTGTCACTGTCAGACATTATGGAATTTTACAATATTACTTGCAACACAAAAAGAAAATTTCTGAACATAACAAAATCTAGAAAACAAACGGAGGATGCTATTAAAATGCCAGGATGTGCAGGAATATGTAAGAAGCAATCTAATTAGCTGGAACGAAGATCAACCAGCCAATCTCGAGGCTTGAAATAGATAGATTGGCCATTCGTCTTTTTTGCTACTCCACCCTGTACCATTAGATGGCCCAAACATCTCAAGAGGGTTAAAAATAAATAAAATACATGAAAATAATAATTTAATACCATGGATTACATTTTAATATTCATCTGTCCCTCTCAAGTACAAATTTGTAATAAAATATCTTTAATTTTTTTTTAAAAATCCCCTTACTTTCTGGCCACATCTAGTGAATGACTAATTATAGCATCAGATCTCAGTGAAGGTGTATGGATTTTCATAACTTTGAACTTTGGTGGTGCATCAAAATCATCCTCGTTAAGTTCATCATCATCATCAGAGTCTGACAAATTCTGATTTGAAAACATAAATAATTATTCAGTACCATAGTACAATACAACTTAATACAAGCCTCTAAATTTCTTACCTTAAAAAAATTATCATCCTCATAATAATTTTCAAAGTCCTTCTGCTCACCTTTGTGCATACACACTCACACCTATTTATACTGGGAAACTCCTACTTTCCGCGATACAAATATATAACTAAAAGCCTAGAGTCAAAATATGAGATTTTTACCGGTACCAGTAACTGGCCTCGAATGCTATCTTTAACTTTCATATCATCTGATAGTTTCCAATAATATTTCATTTCCTTTTTATTATTAAATTTCAGGAAATTTGAACACAAATGTTAATTAGTTAATTTAAACCGTACATTAAAAATCAATAACATTCTAAAACTTTTAGCATTGAGAATATCTTTCTAGACAACTGCTTCAATTATCTGCAAAGCTGACAGTCTTGCTTCATCCCAAATACAGGGTGAAACACTGTGTTTCTAAAGTTAATTTAATACTACAACCTGACAGAGAATTTTTGCTCAAACATGACACATTGCAAAGTAAATTTTAAGTACACTAGAACCTCAAATAATCTAAGTACATATGCTTGGAACTGTACATCTCTATTCTTCCTACTAAAATCCTTATCCTGTCACATCCATATTGTTTTCAATCCTTTTCAACACACTCGCCAATCAGAACATCTAGTTCCTTAAAACTTAAACTGGGACATAACCTAATCACAACTCATATAACATTTCAACATGGTGTTCAATGATCATTATTATTCAGAAAGTTACTAAAAGTATTATTTTCAGATGGTCAACAGAACTCACTTCATCAGTGCTTGACTGTTTCTTGCTCGATTTGTGTCTCTTTTGAAATAGGTTTTGATGTATGATGCTCATCACATTTAAATGTGACCTTTGTTTGTACAGTGCAATACTGGAGGCTGACCTGTTCATGGTCTGTGTTATGTTGTGAAACCCACAGTGATGATGACATGAGATACTTGATAAACTTAGGACACTTTGTCCTTTAAGAAAAGAATGGTGATTTGTGTCAGGGAAAATTATTTGCTGTTTTGAAAAAAGTCTTGGGCTTTGGTCCCAAATATAGAACCAAGTACTTGAAATACTGTGGCATGATGTTCTGGACGATTGCACAGAAACTCTATGGAGTAATTTAGCATCTAGAAATGTCATATTTTTCAATAACTTTATAAGAATCATCATGGCCCTATAATTTTTTGAATGTCTTGGAGAAAATTACAATTTCAGCCCTGTTTAGGAAAAAAAAACAGTAATATATATTTATGCATTAGCTGTCTAAGAAAATTATGTAACTACTTGTTATAAATGCAATTTATTTATTAAAATTCTAAACCTTGACAAAAGTTTTTTTTAAAAATACATAAACTAACAGAACCAGTTTTAAGCTTTAGCAAATACTAGCAAATGTATGTAGTATAGAGCCAAATCAGAAAAAATTTAGGTACAGTGAGCCATTGAAATGGTCTAATTATGCCCTAGAAAGTGAACATATTATTATTTATCGCCAAGTGCCAATACTTCAATAAAATCTCAAAACTGATGTTCCAATTTAGTCACAATAACTGACAAGAAAAAAAGAATAACACAGCTTTCAATAAGACAAAAAATTTTTTTATCAAATGGTAAAAGTTTGCATTGGGCATGGTTTTGCACAATAAATATGCCCTGTGCTATTACATGCATGCAAATAACTTGTCTATGTCTAGGGTTCAGTATGTGTAAAACCCATACCCTGTATATCTTTCTGCGGGCCATGGATTTTAATCCACAGACTGATAAATCTGTATATTGAAAGGGGGGGGGGGGTTTGGGGTTTGCATTTTGGCCAACAGCAGAGTTTTTGGGGGGGGGGACTGCAAAAACCATAGCAAACTTGTCTATGTCTAGGGTTCAGTATGTGTAAAACCCATACCCTGTATATCTTTCTGCGGGCCATGGATTTTAATCCACAGACTGATAAATCTGTATATTGAAAGGGGGGGGGGGATTTGGGGTTTGCATTTTGGCCAACAGCAGATTTTTTTGGGGAGGGGGACTGCAAAAACCATAGCTGCCCTGGTGGCATTAACACTTGCTAAGCTACTAGCTCAGCTGATCAATCATTTGTTCAGATGCTGCATTGACTTGGCTCAACAGAGAGGGCTATGCAGGCCCAATGCAGCATGCATGCCATAGATTGGCCACCACTGCATTAAGCTATAGTATTGCATTAAATAAGAAATAAAAAGTGGTGGGGAAAACCCTTTTTTTTTTTTTTCCACATGGACAAGAGAGTTATTTTTAAAAAGAATCTAACACTCTATAGAGTATATAGGGACACTTATTTAATAGTTTAAGAATTTACCTTTATATTTAAGCTTGACATAGATTAGTATCATGATTCAACAAGGACATGATGTAGAGAAGGCTTTTCAATTGTCTCTATAGAGAATACTCATTTTGCAACTACGCATTTTATTTTTATTTTTTAATTATTTTTTGTTGCTTGCTAAGACTAAATTTTACCGGAACTAACACTTAGTCTAAATTTTAGGTTTCTTTACTTTTACTTTATTCTTTATGTTTAGACTTTGATTTTTGCTCAGCATCAATAACCTTTGAAACATCACTAAGGAATTCTTGGAATTTGAAACTTATCCAAAAGTAGACCGAAATTCCACCACTCACAAATATAAAACATATTATTAGTAAGAAATACAAGGAAACAGAAGCTGGTATAAATAATATTTGAAGCAATCCATCCAACTCCATGACTTATAGGCCAATGGCCAATTTTGTTTTTACCAATGTAGGAACAAAGATCAGATATTATTGATATTTAATAATTCTTGGCTCTTGGAATTAATATAGACTGCAGCTGTTACCTAATAAATTCTACTTTTAAGAATATTCATTTCAATAAGGCCTACCTATCTATATCCTACGCCTACTCAAGTATCTTATTATGATATGTCACATTTGTTTAACCTAATCTCTGATTATAATGTTACAAAGAAATACATAATAATAATAATAAAGTTCATTTCAAAAACACGCTTCATCCCCAAAGGCTCGAAGCGCGGTACAAAGTCAACAAAAAACAAATCTATAATTTACCACATTTAAAACAAACGCAACACTGCAAAAACTAATTACAAGCATACAATGTCAAAGTCTTTCAACCCATTTCAACCGTGAGCAACACAGCCAATATGCATTAAATGGAAAATATGGTAGACAATCATCCCAGAAAGTGTTTGCGAAATAAATGTGTCTTTAAATCGGTTTTAAAGGACTCCAGTGTCTGGATGTTTCTGAGATCGAGTGGAAGGGCGTTCCAAATTGTTGGACCAGCAAATGCGAAAGTGCGCTTTCCGCAAGTCTCAAGGCGAACACGTGGTGTCAAGAGTTTGCCACTGTCGGATGAGCGGAGTTGTCTACTGGGTACATAAGGCGTCAGCAGCTCGTTTAGATAGGACGGCGCCAGGCCATGTAACTAGAGTTTAACCAGGTGCAGTTTTTTACACCCAGCCCGGGAATTTTGAAAAAATACTGATGGGTCTGAGTGTTACAAAAAAAGAGTTAAGTTCTCATTTTCTATATAATGCAACAAAATCTACTCCCCTATGTCACAGTAATAGTGCATTTCCTTCATCCACCATTTGTGTCTAGAAATAACCCACTGATAGGAACAGGCAGTTGCCAGAGGAACACAAACCATAACAAATAATCACACACACAAACACCCCCCACCCTCCCAATTTAAAAATTTTTTTTATGTCATTTGGCATTCTCTATAAGTGTCTTGCCCAGAGTAGCCTGCCCCTTTTTATTTCTGCTACTATCGTGGGATCCTGATATAGACTGTACAATTCATGGTTGGTCGTATTCTCCATCCATATTCATCCTTTTTTGGTCCATATATTTTCCTGAGAACTTTCCTCTCCCATGTGTTTAATAGGTTTTCTGCCGTTTTTGTTACGGTCAAAGTTTTACTTGCATATGTTACAACTGGTCTGATTACAGTTTTATAAATAGTTTTCTTTGTTTCTCTTGTAATGTTTTTACTTTTGAGTATTTTCTGAATACTGAAGTGTATGCCCTGTTTCTGGCTGATATTTTTTCTTTTATTTCTGTAAGTAATTCGTTTCTTTCATTTAAGATGAAAGATCCTAGGTATTTGAATTGCTTTACTTTTTCAAAAGTCTGGTTTGTAATTTTAATTGCTTTATCAGTTTGTTCTTCTCTTATCATGGTCATGTATTTTGTTTTTTGTTTGTTAACTTCCAGCCCTGCTTATAGTGATGCGTCATCTAATTCAATAAAGGATTTTGATATGTCTTTAATACTTTTCCCTAGCAGTGCTATGTCATGTGCAAGATACTGAAGTGGTTGGTTGTAGAGTGTGCCCATTGGTTGTGGGTCTTGAGTTTCCCTTAGAAAGTATCCTCTCATCGATCCTCGAGTGTCAATGTGTATGTTTCTCATAACTCTCTCTAACGTTAGGTTAAAAAGCATACAAGACAGTGAGTCTCCCTGTCTTAGGCCTCGTCTAATATGAAATTCCCTTGAATATTCTCCTTGAACCTTGATTTTTCTTTTTGAGTTGTTTAGTGTTACATGAATTAGTCTTGCCAGTTTGTTGGGTATTCCAAACTCCTGCTGAGTCTCATATAGATATTTTCTTTTGATGCTGTCATAGATCAATTTATAGTCCACATAGGGTTGATGTACTGGTATATTATATTCATAGCATTTCTCTAATAGGCATCTGATGGTGAAAATCTGATCAGTCTTTGATCTGTTAGGCCTGAATCCACATTGGTAATCACCTAGTATTTCTTCAGTGTAAGGTTGTGGTCTTTTGGCAATAAGCTTTGTCAGTATTTTGTATGTAACATATAATAGGGAGATTCCTCTGTAGTTTGTGCACAGAAGTTTGGAGCCTTTCTTGTGTATTAAGGTTATTAATGCTGTTTCCAATTCTGTTGGAATTTTCTCTTCATGCCAAATTTTAGTTATAAGTTTATGTATCCAAGTGTGTAGTTATTTTCCTCCATATTTAATCAGTTCTGCTGGGATGAGGTCTTCTCCAGGGGCTTTGTGATTTTTCATGTAATTAATTACCTTTTTAGTTTCTTCTAGAGTTGGGCATTTTATAAAAGGGTCTGTTCCTCCCTGTGGGGGTTGATAATCTTCTTCTTGTCTATTGTCTGCATTCAGTATGTCCTCAAAATATTCAGCCCACCTCTCCAGTACTTTACTATTTTCTGTGATTAACTCTCCATTGTGGCTCTCACACATTTGCGGTCTGGCTTGGTATCCATTCTTTTCATCTTTTATCTTCATGTACATTCCTCTTATATTTCCCTCTCTTGATAAATCATCTATTTCCTTTAGTTTAGCTTTTTCCTATTCCCTCTTTTTCTTCCTACACATTTTTGTTGCTTTCCTCCTGGCTTCCTTGTATGTCTGTGTTGTCTTTCTGGTTTACCTTTGTAACATGATCATTCTTGCTTTGTTTCTTTCTTCCACAGTCTCTCTGCATTCATTATCAAACCAGCCTACTCTATTGTTGGTTTGCTGGAATCCTACTACTTTTTCTGCTGATATTATCATGGCATTTTTTATCCTTTCCCACTGTTCATTTATGTTGTTTTCCCTGTTTACTTCCTCCTGTGATGCTTCTAATTGTGCTTCTACTTCATTCTGGTAAGCTTTTGCAGTTAGTGGGTCTATGGTGAGCTTAATATAAATAAGGTGGTTGAAGCTTTCAACATGAAGGCCATGTCGATAATGAATAAAATAATGAGTTCATATTCATTTGACTTTGCTGACTTTACCAAAACACTTTTTTTTTTTTACAAACATACACTCATTGACTCATCAAGCAGTCCCGAGGCCCAGAGATAGATGCCAGAGAAGATTCAAGATTGATCAACGTCGTGGACATGGAGGGCAAAATTAGATTCTAAACAATACAGTACATTAATAAAAATAGAAAATAGCCCGATAATTGTTTACCTTGTATAAGTCTATGAATACGATGCTTATGTTTACCTGTTGTAAACTTTTAAAGTTTCTAGGTTATAGTTATAAAATTGAAAGTTACTTAAAAAATGTATGACTTGTTGACCAAAAATGTAAGAGTTGGTTCCCTTTTATTTTAATATTTTATTTTCGCAAAATACAAAAGTATTTCTAGGTACTAAGTATTTTGTCGTAATGATAATATTTTTAAGCTTATGATATTTCAAAATGTTTTAATCTCTATTCGAAATTTGTCGAAAATTGTAAAGTATAAACTGAAAAAAAGATTCGACCAAATTTCCGGTCGCTCAAATTTCCGTCGATAAATTTTCCGTCGACGAAATTTCTTTCGATCAAATTTCCGGTAACACATTTACATTTAGGCTTTTAAATTTTAAAAATAACTTTATATATATATATATATATATAAAGTTATTTAAAAAATATGAATTATTACTACAAATGTTACTTTTTAAATTTAAGTAAATTGAAAGGCATTGTAAAGTAAAATGTAAAGTAAAGTAAACGGTAACACATTTACATTTAGGCTTTTAAATTTTAAAAATAACTTTATATATATATATATATATATATAAAGTTATTTAAAAAATATGAATTATTACTACAAATGTTACTTTTTAAATTTAAGTAAATTGAAAGGCATTGTAAAGTAAAATGTAAAGTAAAGTAAAAAAAAAGAGTATTATAACATCTTTAACCGGTTAGCCTTCAATTATACTGTTATATTTAAGATATTATATCTAACACAAATACAAACGAAAGCTAACGCATCTTCATCTACTCAGCTTCAAGTTCAAGCTTAAATCTTTAATCACAACTCACAAAACAAAAACGTCATGGCCTCTAGGTACAATATTCACGGATTTTTATGATAATAAAAGGGCATTAACATTGACAAAACAATGCAATCAAAATATATCACCTACTAAGGCATAAACTGAATAGGCCTATTTCACGCACAAAGTGAGCGTTATATTATTTAAGTAGCAGCGCCTTGCGCCGGTCCGCACAACATGAAGGAATATTGAAAAATGGTCAAAGAAAAAGAACTCTGGCACCGGTCAAACAATTACTACAATACCAGAGCCCAAGCCATCGCGTGAGTTGGGCATCGAACATTAAGGGCAAGAACTATGAGGAGGCAGGACTTATAAATGTCAATACTCTGTTGGGCTGAGACTTAGCCTCTGAGAGCCCTGGCTACTAATTTGGCGGCGAGCCTCATCTGCTGGGTATCCCCGTAACTCATATCTTCAAGGCAGGCTTCCGGGTCTCGCCCGTTTGCCCCCGTCCCCCCACTAGGACACGTGATGACCAAATGAGCCACTGTTTCTTCTGCCTCGACACAGAATCGGCCGTCTGGTTCCCTTCGATCATCTAGTCGGTGGAGGTAGCGGCGTGTCGCGCAGTGTCCAGTCCTAATCTGGGTGATAAGGCTCTGTTCTCCTCTCTTTAGTCCCCACCATGGGGCGGTCTTGCTCGGTCGCGGTCTTCTCCGGTGCAGCTGTCGTCCGGTTTTTCCTGCATCCCACCTGCCGAACCACTTGTTCCGAAAGTGATCTTTCCGCCATGTCGTGACCCCCAGCTGGGTCATCGGTTTGCTTGGCTGGGGGTAGGACGCGTCTTCTTTGGCTAGAAAGTCCGCCCTGTCCGGCTGCGCAACCTCAACGTGCGAAGCGATATACTGCAGGACTACTTTACCGCCTTTTGCATGGATGCTGCCTACTGTCTCTAGAATGGCTCCTATCATTGTGCTTTCCTTCGAGCCCCTTCCCACGTGTTCCAGAGCTGATCGTGAGTCGGAGAAAACCACTACGGCTGGGAAGCGTTTTCTTTTTGCCAGGCGTTGGTGGACCCTTTTCAGAGCAACCAGTATTGCCTCGTTCGCCGCATCTAGGCTTGTTCTGTTTCCACCGCGTAGGCCGGATAGCTCCTCGGGTGGAGCTATCTCCGCGGTTAACTGGATAAGGGCACCGTGGGAGGCAGGACAATCCCAACAATCCTACAATTACAATAGCACAGTAGTAGTATACATATTGTGTAGCCTACTGATACTTTGTTGGGGCGGGGGAGGGGAGGAGGGGGTACGGTACATAGACAGTTGGAAAATTTCAGTCAGGTAAAATATTTAAATGAGCCGTAGAAATACAAATGAAGGTGCACATAACTGATCAAACTGTTCGATTAAGTGTATGAGGCAAGATATAATTTGATATCTGACATTTGTAGTCGGCATCAATTCGTCTTCATAGACTGCATCAAATCCTATCACTATACTAATCAGTAGTATCAACGAATTGCTCAAATGTTGGAGAGTCGATTTCTGCGGATCTCTCTCCAGGTGAAAGTTGAAGGTTATTAATCGTTAGTTTTGCTAGCTCCATTGGCTCCAAGGCTTGATTAACTCCTAGTCTAGCAAGGCAACATGCTTTCAGCTTTAATTACCCTATATTAATTCCTAGCGATTGCTTGCTTAGACATTTTCTTGACGTCGCCGAGCTATCTAAGTACCGGGTATTCTAAGGCGTCTCCTCTATGATGATGGTGAGCATCTTACACACCGGTACTATTACTATATTGCCTCTTTTAAGATCTCTGAGTTGGCGTCTTACCATCAGTAGTTAAGTATGTCTCTTTTAGGTACCGTATCATTTTTTAAGATAACCCTTAGGATCGTTCAATAAATCAAAGGGAAATAATCGAATGCTTTATTTAATTTGATTTTAATTAATTAATTAATTCCCTTTGTTAACAGTTTTTTAATTGTTTTTGTTTTTTAAATTTAAGTTAATTTGTTTGTTTTTTAATTAATAAATCTCTTGAATTATGATAAGTTAATATTAATTTTTTTAATTAGTGCTCTTGTAGTGTGATGATTTTTAATAAGTTAATTTGATTTTTTAATTAATGAATCTCTTGTAGTTGTAGTGTGATAATTTGATTTTGATTTGCATTTTATGAGTGGTTTTGTTTTGTGACTTTTTAAAAATTAATTGTCTTGTGTAATAATTTAAATTGTATATATAATTAGTGGTCTTTTTGGGTGTATAAACTTTGATGGTTCTCAAAATTTTGTATAATCAAATGTTTTAAAATATTAATTGGACTAATTAATTTTAAAAAAAGTTTATTGAAAGATTGAGTGGTTCTCAACTTGGGTGGGTTGGGGGGGGGGGTTACTAGAGATTTCCTTAGGGGTGTTATTTATTTATTTTTTCAAATGTTTTTTAAAAAAATGTCGATTTAATTTATTTCAGACATTTTTAATTTATTCTAATTTTTATTTTATTTTATGTAACAACAAAAGGACACCAAGAACTAAAAAAGAGGCGTAACAGTAATACATTTTAAATCGGTTTATTTTATTTGGAGTCATATCTCCGATGCAGTCATAGTTAATTAAGTACATGATCGAAATTTCAATAATCTTTATTTTACATCATCAAGAAACATATTACTAAAAAAAAAATATTAAGTACTTGATATATATACATATTATATAAACATCTTTTTTCCAAAAGTTGTCTAGTGATGTTGCTGATGGTGTTTGGTGGTGCATGTGTCCTCGAGGTTCTAAAACGTAATTAAGGTGGTCCACGGGGAAAGTATCGATATTTATATAATTTTTATTAATAATGAGATTATGGTGAATTTTACTAGATAAACATGTAAGGAACATTTTGGTTTTTACCATTTTCATTAAAAAATAATTTAAAGTTGTTAAAAATGTATTTCAAAGTAATATGGTAAGAGCAAATTTTGACTTCTGCGGGAAAATTCACGCCCCATAGACCCCCTGGCGCACCCTTCGCTTTTACAATATAATTACAACGCAATATAGTCATATTTGGTATCGATGGAAAGCTTAGCCTCTCTACTCGGTAATGGTATCGCCCACTAAAATGTTCAGAAATAAGGCTGGCGGGAGCTCTTTGTTCGGCAAAGCCTCTATATTTTTTCGGTCGAACAAATTTTCTTATTGGTCGAGATTTAAAGTTTCAAAAAATCGGATATTATCATTGGTCAGCTATTTTTTGACTCAATCAACAAGTCAGAAATCTATCCCACAATGCTATGGCCGTCTCCCAAATTCATTGTGTCCAGTTAGCGTACTACCGCGTAACCTTTTATCGATCGATCGACTTTACTTTTGCAGTCTTCAACTTCAAATAAATTCAAATTTGAACTTATTTTCTTGATTTGAAAAAGTAAGTTGAATTAATTATTGTATACTGTAATTTATAATACATAGTTTTAGCTAGTTTTAGGCGTTCCACCGAATGTTAAGCTAGGTTTTGTCAGACAGTACAGTAGGCTTGGGCTTAGTAATAAAATCGGAGTAACGCACTCGAGTCTTGTGTGCGTAAAGTTACATTAAGAAATGGCGTCAGCAGGGCGAGTCTAGACTCTTATGCACCCCCCCCCCAAATTACCCCTCCCCGGTCCGACGTATCGGGCCGCGGAGCGGCACGTTGGAGATGCCCACTCGTCAGGACGGCCCCCACACGGGCCCCTCACCCAAGTCCCCCGCCTGGGCGCTCGACCAGGACCCCGCCTGGGGGCCGCCCCAACCAGGAGGCACCCGGTCGATCCGACACTATGCGTTTAAATAGTGCACTCGATCGACTTTCTCAGGAGTTGGGATGGAAAAATTTACTAGCCTAATATCTTCCCCCACCCATCCCGGGAAAGCGTCGGACGCTCTATAAGAGTAAGAGGGATTCCACAGTGGGCTTCCACAACGCGACTAGTTCACGCTGTAGCTGGGACGAAACGGTTGCCTAGGGGCAGCGTTCTCACGGCTGCATTATTTGAATCCTCGGCCAGAGGTTACCACCCTCGCCTCAGGCCTCATACCCGTCAACGGCAACTTGTAATCATGATCCCTACCCTGGCTCTGCCTAACTTTCCGACTGTGAAATATCTCAACCGACAGCCCCGTGGGAGCTGTTTTATGTACGGCAGGTACCGAGCACACCCTTTGTCTGCCCACGCGGGGCGTGCCCAGTAGTTATGTTTCCAGGCAAACGCAGAGGGGGTCGGTGGCCGACACTTCCTAATCGGCAGGCCACAGCAGACTTGTCAACCGGAA